ATGCATACGCAGGTGCAGCAGTTGGTATCACGTTGCATGGTTTGTGATCGAGTGAGGGCATCGTTCAATGCCCCGACACCAGAGTTACATCCCTTACCTATCATGGAATTGGGTTACCGTTGGAGTTTGGACTATGCTGGACCACTACCTTTGACTACACGACATCATCGGTATGTGTTGGTGATGGTGGAGCATTTCTCCAAGTGGATTGAGTTGGTGGCATTGCCTGACAAGGCGAGTGAGGGAGTAGCATATGCTTTCCTTGACAGGGTGCTTAGTCACTTTGGTGCACCAGCTGAGGTGTTGACCGATCAGGGGACAGAGTTTCAGGGTGAGTTTCAGGTCTTGTGTGACAAGACGCTGATTGATCACCGGACTACTTCCCGAGATCATCCAGAGGCGGACGGTTTGGCTGAGCGGATGGTACAGACGGTGAAGAGAGCGTTGCGCAAGTATGGCCTACAGAAGGGGCATCTTGGGGACTGGGATATTCAGTTACCATGGTTGGCCATGGGATATCGATTCAGTCGTCAAGCATCCTTGGCTTCGTATTCACCATATTTTCTATTGTACGGCCGAGATCCAGACTTGCCTGCAGCGATTCGTCGTGAGTCTAGCGAGGTGGTGAACCTTGATGATCCAGATATGTGGGTGAGAGTGTGTTCTCAACGTGCAGTGCTCTTTCGGAGAGTTATGCCTGCAGCGTTTGAGAACCTTGCGATTGCTCAGCACCGGGATACGTTGCGGTATGCAACTATTCGAGGAGGAGGTTATCGACCATTGATTCGTAGGTTCCGTGTGGGAGACTACGTCTATCTACAGCAGACTGCACCGACTACGTTGGATGTGACGGCAGGACGCACTATCTTGCGAGTGCGAGAGGTGTTACCTTCTGGAGTTCTCATGTTGGAGGGTCGTGACGGTGTCGTTTGGAAGGATCATGTGCGCAACTGTGCGCCATGCCACCTCCCAAACGTGGATGGTACTATGGACCCAAGCTTGGCGATTGTACGTGCCGGCTTGAGGTGCATGTTATGTGGGTCAACTGATCAGGCGGCCCATATGTTGGTGTGTGATAGGTGTTCTAGGGGATGGCACATGTCGTGCTTGACTCCACCTATCGATGTTGTTCCTACTGGACGGTGGGTTTGTCCTCGATGTACTCCAGAGGGTAGATGACTTGATCTTCACATGTTATGAATTGCAGATAGGCGACTAACGATGGGGCGACATAGCACCCGGCCTACTGGTTCGCGCACCCACGAAGGTGCATAGCATGTAGTTGTAGATAGGGCTACCTGGGAGTCAGAGGGACCTGACCGCCAGCTAGGGGGGCGAGTTGTGATACCTTTGTGTGTGGACACTCTCGTTCCTTGTGTATGTATGTGTGAGTTGTGAGTAGAGCATGTCAGCGATGTATGATGTATGGCGATACTGAGTCGCACGACAGCTGTCATGGCTCGAGACGTTGGGTCGATTTGAGTGGAGACACGTTGAGTTCGAGTGGGAGTCGGGGAACGTTGGGAGTCGGCTAACGTTGGGCCGCGGCAGACGGGCGGGGAACGTTGGATGGAGTCGACACCTTCCAGGGATATATTCGAGGCGAGCTCGAAGAACTGTCAGTTCTTCGAGTTGAGCCTTTTGCGTAGGGATATGTCAGTCCCGCTAGCTTCGACTCTATGTCTCCTTTGGGAGTGAGTTTGGCTCGACTCTTTGTGTATTTCTGTTTCGACAATTTTAGTTGTGATACCTTTGTGTGTGGACACTCTCGTTCCTTGTGTATGTATGTGTGAGTTGTGAGTAGAGCATGTCAGCGATGTATGATGTATGGCGATACTGAGTCGCACGACATAGATTCCCACTGGAGTATCATTTACTCATTTAATGATAATACATGCTAAACAGTAAAATACATCAAAAGAGTAATGCCAGATCTTGCCTTGTTTCTTCCAGCTTCACGTCGCCAACTAATTTCCAGACTTCAGTCGTGGTCCTACGATTATGACTGAAGATGTGGGACGCGGTCAAATCATCTTGATCATATACGGGCAGACATTCTGTAGAGGATGCCATGTTTCCCCATAAATTCGCTGTACTGGCCGACCCTCGTCACTAAGGGCTCCTCAAAAATGAGGGAACGCGAGCTCTGCCCGCCCGGGCTTTCTGCCCGCAGCCCGACCCCCCCTCCTCATCCGGGCCCGCAGCCCGACCCCCTCCCCTCGCAACCAGACACCCTCCCCCGCAGCCCGACCTCCCGGTTACTAGTTATTAGTTGTGGAGACCTCCCGCTTTAGCTCGCCCATCGGGCTCTTTCCCTCGCGGCCTCCCTTCCCCGCAGGGAACTTGTACTTCGTGGTTTTTTCCTCCCCCATGCCCCATTTCTCCTCCCCTCGCAAAGGGGAGGAGAAATGGAGTAGCATGTTTGGGGCTTCCATTCTTTTTCCCCCAAAAAACAACTAGGTCTTTTTCTTTCTAAAGCTTTAGTTTCTAAGGAAATTATTTCTCTTTAATTTTTATATTTAAGTAAATCTATTCATCTATCAACATGATGGAGAATCACAAGAGAAAGCATAATGAAAGATTTCATTAAAGCAAAATTATAAAGTGATAACAAGATCAATGAAAAAACTCAAATCATAAATTTTATTTCACAAAAATCTCAGGGTCACAATTTTTGCAAAAAATAGAATTTGCTCCTCTGCAAAAAACGAATCTGATAAGCTGATAATCCGAATCGTGCTCTTTTCCCCACATGAAGTTAGGTAACGTCTTGACGAACGTCTTAAATATCGACGATTATATCCACTCTGGAGAGGACTCGCCCGTAATAATTAAGTTGGCAGCTACCTCAGGCGGAAAAAACACACTCAATACTCTCATTCTCTGAACTTACATGGCCAGACGAAGGACATAATTCTCAACACCATTGTTGGGCTCGATTGTTATTGCCAGCGTTTTTGATTAATCAGAAGTTTGATTTTTCCGATTTACTGCTTGAACGCAGCGCCTGCCTGCGTCTAATTTTTCCAACAAAATCTCCGAAATGGAAGACATGACATGCCTCGCAATACATTCGTCGTTCGCAGTTCTCTTCAGACGTGGGACAGAATCAGAAGGGGCTAAACTATTTAATAAAATTTAATGTAATTTAGCGTGAAGGACTCGGTGACTGGCATTGGCAGAACAGTGGACGCAGACATTTTGCGAAGGGACGGGAAAGGGAAAGTGGAGTGATCGGGAGGCGGCCATCCCTAGTCGGGCTGCGGGGGGAAGGGGGATGGGGTCGGAGGGGGGAGGTCGGGCTGCGGGCAGAAAGCCCGGGCAGCCCGACCTGCGGGCAGAGCTCGCGTTCCCTCATTTTTGAGGAGCCCTTAGTGACGAGGCTGGCCGACTTGTTCACGGTCGAATGCATGTTAGGTAACGAAGATCATCTTCCCATCGGAATTATCCTTCGCACTGCATTTCGGACTTTCTCTGAAGTGAGAGGTCAGATCTTCTCTCCCAGAGTATATGGGTTAAATTTGTCAGTGGTCAGTTCTGTGAGATTGTTCTTGATTATAAGAGTGGTGAAGACAAATATCTTCCATCTTCATTTTTCTTTGATTTGACAAGTGAAGAGTGTGGGTTCTACAAGGAGGAGAAAACCCCAATTATCAAGGCATTTCACGACGTTTCATATGTTCTCTACTTGGTGGTACATGTCGGCATTTGGGTTTAGATAAGAGAACATGCTCCCCGTCTTCTTATTTCGTACCACATCGCTGTTGAAGGTTTCTCGTTGTGACCGAGGCGTCCATTAGTTATGATCCACTCCCTGTTTTATACGGTGGCTGTTCATTTTGATATGGAAGTAGCTGGAATATTCACTCAGTGTCAAGAGGTTGAAGATTTCTTTCAGTGACCCAAGTTTGTGGTACTAAGCTAGTCTCCTGTAGTTGACAGAGATAACTATTCTCAAATCTGCTATTCAGGTTCTAAGTTTCCCAGTTCAAATATGAATCAAGATTCGAATATTGGATTAACACAAACAGATGGCTTTCTTATCGAAAGAATACTTTCAGTAGAAGCCAGCGTGAGGGTTGAAGTGAATAACAGTTATGAAGTGCGGAAATAACCAAAGCTATACATTCCAGGACGAAAAGGTTATATGCTGCATTATTATCTCTTCACTTACTTCACTTCATTATTCTTTCATTCTCTCTTCACAGATGACGAATGAGATAAGGACTGGATCCCCTATCCAAAATCTAAATCAACCTCCATATCCGAAATCTTTAAAGTTGTCGGTTGGAAGGACAGATCGAATGCACCTGCTTCTACTCATCTTCCATTTTAGCGGCAGCTTTCATGCCCGACAAACACTTGCATTTGCAATATTCGAAGCAGCAAAAGTAAGGGGGACTGCGATTGCCTAAGGCTTGCGGACGTGACGAAGTTCTTTCAAGCCTGGACGGGAAGCCTGGATTCTACTGATTCAAGAAGATGCACATTTTCTGGTCAGTGGTCGCTGTTCTACATCCGGTTGGGCAAGAATTACCCAGCCGGCCAGTGTATAGTATGAAAGAGCTTCCTTCAGATCACAGTATGACAGAACATACTCAAGTACTCTTGACCTCGATGGATCTGGTTTGTTGAGATTTTCTCGTCATCGACATTCTTATCTATCTTGAAGATATCAAATGCAGTTTAGGACATAGACTCTGGAAGAATTAGGACGGAGAACAACGGGTCTTACCGGAAAAAGACTGCCTGCGGCTATGGAACTCTTAATAATGCAAACATACAAGAACACTAATGCACTCGCTGCCAAGTTTATCCTATTCTGCATGAGAGACAACCGACGGGCATCGACAGGAAAATAAACGAAGAACCATGCACATTCTGACGGCTCGAATCGTTACCAGCTTCTCGTATCGTCTTCGTCGAAGCCCGCTCATCCAGTGGACACCCTACAGACGCGATTAGTACAGCTGCACCAAGTCCTTCCTACAGCAGATTGTCGTCTGGGATTTGGCTGGACAGTGGATAAGTCACAGGTTTACATCCTACGAAAGGTACGAATGATCCACAGTTCGGCCAAGTCCCGGACAGGAATTTGCATTTCCACTTTGATGCAATCGGATCTTCTACACCCGAGACGGGCATTGGTCTCGGCACACAAGAAATCCCAAACGACCCAAACTGATAGACCGACGAACTGCTGTGGCCTCTTGCCGCTGCGATCCCTTTTATGCCACTGCAGCACTACCGATGAGCTCTTGCTGCCCGGAGCAGGTGTAACTAATTCCACAGGATCGGAGAAAACAGTAAAATGAAATCGAGCAAAATGCGGATATGTCACAGAAAGTAAATGGGACATTGAGCTGTATCGATCACGTCCCATTCGTCGGACCTGCCTGCTGGACCAGGTCCGATCGAGATAAGATCCGCATCCCCGTCAGGAAACAGGAAAAGCTGGTTCACAGAATCGACGCCGATATCATAGAATATTGATATCTCGGTTCTCGCTACTAGATCGCGAGTGTGTGGACACCCAATTGTGGGACGGGAATGACATGGACGCGATCGTGCTCGGCACCTCGAGCTCGCGCTCTTGTCTTTTGCCGCCGCTGCGACGCAGGTCCCGAATCGCTGGCTCCACCGCCTTTTGGAGGCCAGCCAGTGTCAGCAGGTGTCAGCTCGTCGTATGCATGCTGACCTCTCCGCAGCATGCATGCAGACGTTACTGATTAAAGTCGCCAGCTTTGCTTTGCTCTACTCTACTTTTCTACTTTACTCTACTTACGCTCTGCTTGGCTTGGCTGGAAGGATGACGATCTGGTGAGGAAAGCAAAAGTCTCGAACTTTCTTCCTCTGAATAACAAGTGACTTTGCGCGGTGACATACGAACATGTCCAAGGTCAATGAAGACGTCTATTCTAGTTTAATACAACCCACTTCCAGTTCCTAATAAATCAAATTTATAATTGAAACTTAAGAGATGTGAAAAAGGAAACATGATTGGCAACATGGAGTGATATAGAGTTGTATTTCTTGTGTCTAGAAAATTACATCTTTGAAACATTATATTGGTAGATATATGGTAAATTACAAAAATGTATGAATACTAAATTATATATCTCATCAATTTACTAATACATGTAACACTTCTCAAATGTCCTCTACATGATTTTGATTTATCCTCTGAGATATTCTTGAAGATCATTTCTTGACACATTTATATCATATGGCAAGAATACTGCAACTATATCCATATCTTCTAACACTCAATTTTTACATATCATTTCGTTTTTTTTCCACTTTTTAAAATTGGCAACTTGGAGCACAATATACTATTTTGCTAAACATCAAAAATAAAGTATTCAAGTCATGAGCATGTCATTATTACACATAAGTTGATCATTTTCATGCACTATAGGATTAACATACTTGTATGAGACTTATATTCTCAGAAACCTCATCAAATCATAGCAATGACATATCAATACTATATCTTTTATATGAAAATTTACTATCAACTAAGATTTTTATCAAGATCTTATAAAAAGGATTCTAGTCATTATGTTATTACTACATGTAAAACTATCTTTTGATGTGGTTGTGTGGAAAATTTTAAATATATTAAATATAAAAAGATGAAATTAAAAAAAATAAAGTTAAATTTAAAACTTTGAAAAAAATTCAATTAAAAAAATGAAATTTTAGATAATAAAATTTTTAAAGAATTTGAACATATAAATTTCATTTCAATGAAATTAATGAAATAATAATTATGATATGAATAAAAAAAATATTTTTTCATAAAAAATTCTTATAGGCTACATGGAAATGATCATTATGATGTTCATCACATTTTGATTTACTCCAAAAATAAACTTTATGATATTATGTAAAAATTATGTTAAAAACAAAATGCATTATTAAAATTATAAAAAATTATAAAAAATTATTATTGATCTTGAATATATATATATATATCCAGGAGAAAAGTTGTTGATTTCAAATATTTAAAAAATAACATTTGAAAATTTAATGGACTAAAATGCATGCAATCCATAATTATTATGAATTTGATCTTTGAAATGTCCATCAGATTTACTTTAATTTTTCAACATTTCCAGATTGTGAAAAAAAATTCCCGAAATCTCATGTAAACTAACAAAGAGTATTGAAATAGATATAAGAAGAAAGAAATTTGCATATAGATTAATTTTCTTCAGAACATAATATATTTCAAGGAAATTATGTGGTCAGATTTTTTAAATTGAAAAAAAATTATTTGATAAAATGATTCAAATTACCTATAGGTTGATTACTTAAATTATCGTAATTAATTCAAATGATGCAAGAAAATGTTCCTTAAAATGAAATGTTTAGAATTCTTTTCCAGTTTTTTACAAGGCAGAAAAAGATTTTATTAAATAAAGTGTGCATAAAAAGTACATATCAGATCATTCAAAAGTATAATAAATTTAATTTTTAATTTAAATTCTGATATTTTTATATTTATTTCAAATTATAACAAAATTTGTATATTGTGATGCATAAATGCAGTAACAAACAACATAAGATAGATATCAAAAATAAAAAAATAAAATTTATAATATCCAAAAATGATCAGTTTGAAATAAAGACTTATCATATCTTAATCAATATATTAAGAAATAAAAAGAATACTTAATTTTGATTATAATCTTTAAAAATATGATCATAATAAAAATAAATTATTGCAAGATGGTAGATAATTGTTGCGATTGACTATTCTCCAAACAAGTTCATAGAACAAGACAAGAATCACACACCAATATAGGTGGATCACCTCCATATAATCTACGACCGCGACCGACATAAAAAGCTTTACTAAAGCGAGAATGTACATCACACCTCTATAACCCAGCTTTCCATTATCTCTCAATTGGGGGTGTACACGTGAGATAGAACAGAAACGTACTTGTACTCGGATTACATCCACTCTCTAACTAGAGGCCAAATCTAACAATGGTTGGATTAACTATGATTAACAAAATGCAGGTAAACTTTACAAAACGTAGTATTGATATTGAAAGGTCAAATACAACCTATGTTATCAAGAGTGAGTAACAATTTTCCAAGGCTTTCTATTTATATTGCTAGGATGCTCTAAAATTGAAAAGTCGGCACCAACTCAAGGATGGAAATATTTCGTGTCGTACCCTTATTTGGAAAAATCAGCACCGCCTCCTTGTTATATTAGAACCTCACTACCACCCTCTTGGAAAAATTCCACATCTCACCGTCTTTTGTTGTCCACAATTTATGACAAAAGGTCATGACACCGTTCGTGACAATAATTGAAAGAAAAAACCAATATGTTTTTTATATTATATGTGATAGTGATGTAAAATATGATATAAATTTAAAACATATTCATCATAATATTTATCTTAGAAAATGTCTATAATTTCTTGCATATTAAATTCTTTAATTGTATGAAAGAATTTAAATTGTACTTTTTTTTCTCAAAAATCAATAAATTAACTTTAATGTAATTATAAAATTTATATAAACTTTTTGATAATATTAAAATTATCTACCAGTATTTTTAAAAAAATGGAAAAATGTACAATTTTTCAATTATAATATTTGTTTATATTTTTTGTAATGAATTTTGATACATTTACAAAATTTCAGAAACAATATGTTTATCAATTTTTTATTCTTTTATTTTATTTTTATTTTGACTCATCATAAATAATCATTTCACAAATTTTTATCAATCAAATAGAAAACAAAATATCAAGTATATTGAAACACCACGTCCATTTATATATCATATGACTTTATTGCTTGTAATTTTTTGGATCAATTCTCACATCTACTAATAATAAAATCTTGCATTTAAAACTTTCACAAATTTCCTTTTCACATTCAAAAAAAATATTTGAATAAAATGGTTATCATTTTTGTATAATCTATTCAATATATAATTTCACAAATCTAGATTTAGTAAATTTTTTATTTATCTATCTATTTCCTAGTTGTCTTGTAATAAATTTTCATTTGATAGCAATATTGTATGTTTTCAATTTAAGTTATTATAGTTTCATTCTAGGTAGACAAAAATCTTAGTTCATAGAATCGTAAATTTTTAAACTAAAATTTTCTCTTTGTATATGATGTAAGATTCAAACATTCTTGATTGAAGATTTATACAAAAAATACATGACAGAAGAATATATGCAGGAAATATCATGAAAAAATAGACACAAGATAATTTGTGATTGATAAAAAAATAAACTAAGTCACATGTGTTGAAGCCAATTTTATTAGAAATTGAATATTGATGATACATGTTTGTCATTTTATTTTAAGGTAAATTTAAGGTACATGATAAATGATAATTTGATTCCATTTAATGACGATAACTTATTAATCGGTTATCTCTTTGAAGAAATATATAGTGATGTATGAAAAATTAATATACATTTTTATTCTTTGAAAAGGAGAGAATAACTTGATGGAACCTCATTAGAAGTCAGAATTCTTGATGGGACCCAATACTTTCTATTTTATCCAATGGTTCCCCTGCGACAGCAGTTTTCAATCATGCTACAAATTCATGCATACAGAAGTAAATAGATCACATATATAATAAAATTTGATTTTTTTATTAAAATTAAATATTTAAAAATAAAAATATTCAAAAAATCAATGATTCATAGATCAAATAATATACTGATACAAAAATTTTCACTGATAATAAAAATAAATCAGCCAAAAAAAGTATCCATAATTCATTTGCAAATCAAATAATCTTACCCAAAATTTCTTGTTTTAATATTCCTTTGTTTAAATACAATGGTTAAATTGTGTTCATAGATTCATAAAAATATATGACTTTTCATATTGATTAAAAAATATTCTCTACTAAATCAAATTTATTTTTACACACATAAATTTTGTGGAACTCCACATTATTTTTTCATGTAATAACTTTAATCCAACTTCAAATCAATTTCAGATGAATTATAAACTAAAAAGCTTTGATCTAAAAAAATTCCACATGCAACATAATCATGAATCTGACATTATAGGCTAAGTATATATTTTCATATTGTATTGATAATTAGTTCAAGTTTTATAGTTTTATAGTTTAATGTAGATTAGTTGTCTGAGGCTTATTTATGTTATAGTAACAGCTTATTTTTGAATTAAAGAAATTTAATTTTTAATAACATGCATGAAAAACTCTAACATCATCAATTGCTAAAATATAAAAATAATACAAGATTATTTTTATGATGAATCGTTATTATTATTGTTATGTTGAGTTTAAACTATATATATATATATATATATTAACAATCATTTTTTAAATACATCAATTTTTCTATATAAGACATATATGTTTCAAAAATTTGTTTTAGTAGTTTAGACTGTCTAGACTCACCTTTATTGGCCTTGGTTTTAGTAGTTGCTTTCGCTGATTCTGCTATTCAATGCAAGGTATGTTGCAAGCAATTTATTACTAATATTGTGTGAATATATGTAATTTTTGAAGTTTGTTTTTTGACAATCAATATATCAGATTGCATTGAGTTTTTTCAAATTTTTTTAGTAAATCAAAGCATGTTCAGAACATATTTATGAAAAAATTATAATTTTTTATCTCTATATATTCAAAAACATATATTTTATCTTAAATATAACTCATTTTTCAAATACTCAAACATAAATTGTAACTTAAAATTTTAAAAATATTCAAACTTTTTTCATCTATAAGAGACACATCATTTTTTTTTCTAAAAAGGACACATTTATTTTCAGATGAGTGTCAATTGATTGAATTTTAGTTTTATTTGGCTGTTCTTTTTTTGTAAAAAAAATTTACAAAGTTTTATACAACATCTTGAGCAATATAGGCGAATGTAGAGTATCAAAACCACTCCATGCATTTTTTTACAATTGACTTTGAAGACATTTGAGGCGTTGACTTTGATACTCCATCCTCAATCAACCTCCATTAGGAGTCCATAGTAATAACACAAATTGTGTTGTGTAGATTAAGGTTTATCGGAATAAAATAAAATTCAGCGCATCATTTATTTCAGAATGAAAAAAATGTGTATTGAAATATGTTCATAATTGATTTGTGTTTTGAGCAAAATATACATAAAAAACCAAAAAAGGAAGTATAAAAATAAGTTATATTCATAACACATGTCGTTCAAGATGAAATGATCAATGTATTAGAACAAAATTAGCTTGTTTACTATACTCTAGATAAATGAATATAGATATGAGAAATTAAATCATATCAAATTTAGGAATTTTAGTCAAATGACAAAAGAAATGAGTGAATTAAATATATATAAAAAACTTTCAAGTTTCACGATTATGCAAAAAAAATTTGAGTATTAGAGTTTAGGGTTTTAAAAATCTGAGATACTTTCTAGATTGTTTATGATAAAATGTGATGCAATTGAGTACATTGCAAAGATGATGTATGTGATGTTAATATTTTTTGTAAAGGTTATAAGATGTGATGAATTTGGTTAAGAATTCATAATCATTATAAACACATGAGCTTTCAAATGCAAGAAATAATCAGTTATTTGATTCAGCAACTCAATTTAAAGAAGCAGATTGCAGAGCTAAAGGAAAAAATGCACATCTCACATTGATTTAATGTCTAGATTTTTAAGATTGAAAGAGCTAACATTTGATTTTTAAAGGAGAAAAAATTGCAACCGCAAGAAATCATGAAAATTGTATAGACAATTTAATCCTCTGGATGTAAAACAACCAAATTGATTGTGTTTATTTTCACTTAATATACCAGACTTGTATTTTTAATTATTTTTATATTAATTTATTTAGAATATATAAAATAAGTAATCATAATTGAATATTTGATATAAATTATTTAACTGTGTATTGAAATTTGAAAAATTTATTCATTTTTCTTCATATATGTTTAATAAAATTATTTGAAAATGAAGTAATAAAAATTATATAAAACTTAAACATATATGAATATGCATGGTAATAATAGTCATTTGCCTAAATTACCTAAATACGCTTGATATAGTCGCCTGAAGAAATCAATTTAGTCTAGTTTTGATGCTAAAGGTCGCGTTCAATGCATTTGAAAGCTAGTGAGTGGTTCGGAGGTAGAGGGAGAGAGAGACCATCAGGGAGGGCCTGCAGTCGAGGTGTGAGTCTTGTGGACGAGATAATTAAATTTACAAACTTCGGATTGCAACTCGGTGAACTATGAGTCCGACGACGTAAGAAGCTAATTCACAGTTGAAATCTCCCACATTCCAATTCTGAGCCAATCACAGACTAGATGCTACGATTAATTTAGGCGCTACAGTGAACACCACTTTAGGTAATTTAGGCGCCTCGGTGTACGATCGCCTATACTAACCATGCCTATATATGAATGATCATAAATCTTAACTCAAATTTTTTTTTAATTCTTTTTTACTTCTAGGTCTAAAATAATTTGACTTAGGTTAGATGGATCAAAAATACCTTTGTGTTTATCTAACCAAATAACATATTTACATATTGATCTTTCAAAGCATTTAACATTAATATTATACTTGCTTTTGTCTTTTTTATAATAAATATTCATGTTTGAATTTTTTGTAAAAAAAATGTGAAATAATTATTCATGCTTTGGATATGTTCAAAATCACACATCATAACTTGATACTTTTATATACAACTTTGATGAAGTATCTTAAATACTGACTCTTATTAATAAATCACAAAAAATATCATATAACTTCTTAATTATTTGTAAATTATGAATTCAAGCATGAATTTTTATCTATAATTAAATTATCTGATTTCATTTTTCAGGTTATTTGAATTTTAAAAGTCCAAATTTTTTTAATATTTTTTTCTCTCTTTTAGATTATATTTTCATAAATGATTGAATGAAATTATCAAGTCATTATTTTTAAAATAAAGCTTCTTTTCGTTTTTGTTTTTGTTTTTCATCTGAGAAATGAAATGAAATTTAAAGACATGTCAATACAAACATATCTTGGTGAAGGTTTATTATTTTTTATCAGAGTTCATGCAAATATTCTTGATTTTTCCAGCTGATAAATTTCAATGATGATGAATAGTTTTTTGTTTATGGAAACTGACATTTTGTATCAAATGATGGTCTAATACCATATGATGGTCCAGTTTATAAATGATACATTAAACTTTTTTCAGTGTATCTATCGTAGGTCCAGTGCAATGAGAATCACACACCGATGTGCTTCACCTTCACATGAGCCTCCGTCCATGAAGTCCAGATAGAAGCTTCACTGAATCAAGAATATTACATGAGGCTAACCTGGCCAAACTCTCGACTATCTTTCTATGTCAAGTGTAAAGGTGAAAACTAAACTGAAGGGTACTCATCAGTACGAAAAAAATACCCAAACTACGGGCCTGAATCCTAACTGGCCGAACCTATACTAGCCCGAACCCTAACTAGAGGCCAATTCTAACTACGGTTAACCTTACATTTTTACAATATTATATTCAAATATGAATAATTTATATGAAATCTAGAATTTTATTACAACCTTATGAAACATATGAATATTTGCTTTAATCAATCTAAATGTCACATGGTAAGCAAATTATATTCATATTTTAATCCAACACATCATATTCTAATGACTTCAAAAACATGAATAACTATTTACTTCAAAACAAAATATAGGCTACAAAATTTTATTCAACTGCAGGAAAAATACCTGAATAATAATCTATGTGCTTCTTATTAAAAGTTGATAAAATCAAGAATGTGGCCAAAAAAAATTGTTTCGTACATATGATTCATCATTAACTATGTGATTATAATTATATGTAGATCTAGCAATATCATTTGTCAAATCCATAACCTCACTTGATGTCCGCATGGATCATCAAGAAGAAATGCTTTAAAAAGAAATTTATATCCATTGGTATTTTTGTCCGTGGTAAGATTGCAAGACATGTTTGAACATGAATCTTATGATACATGACCATGATTATGCCTCCGTGGCATGATCATCTAATAATAACCTTTGAGTTTTGATATGAATGATGTAGTGATGAGCAAGATCTTGCGTCCCTATCAATGAACTACCTGATTGTAAGACAGTGATATACCTGATCCGCAATAACACCAATATCTTATGTGTTAACTTATAAAGATTGATCTGTATATATATATATATATATATATATATATATATATATCAAACCAATTTCAATTTAAAAAGCTTCAAGTCCGATAGTAGCCTATATCTCAGGGTAGCCATGATCTCAAGTTTCAACTTCAAAATTTGTCTTCCAAGAAGCCATAATTTGAGATCTTCCCTTCGATAACTATGTCTCCAAATTGAGGCTTTCAGTCCTCACATCCTATACTGTGGGCAGTGAGAGCATTATTGGCTGCAACTACTTTTAGCTCATCCTCACTGTTTGCAGAGTAGTAATAAAACAACATAAGTACTGACCAATAGCTTATCAGAGTTTTCCACAGATTAAAGTTTTCTAGTCTTCAGCGAGTACTACTTGATATATAGTGTTACTCAGAAGAACAAAATCAGTGTCATGACATGATACCTGACCAAAGAAATTGTTGAAACCTAAAAACTCAGGAACAGATTGCCATGGTTTGATAGGAGTCGAAGAACTATATCCCACAAGAAGTTTTGTACAGACCTTTCACTTTTCTCCTGCACTTTGATGTTGTGATGATGTAATTACAGTACAAATCTGATTGCCATCCATAACGGTCGTAACACTTCATGACCCTGTACTAAACTAGGGTTTAGATTCTTCTCGCGTGGAAAGTTGTCAGTTTTAGAACACTGAGCTGTTTTGGAGTGAATGAACAAGTGTATGCATATGTGGACGCATCAGAAGGCTTAGACTCAAAAGGTACAAGTCCTATGGATCACTAATGATGATGAGGAAGAACAGAGAAAATTGCTTGACTGGATAATCAGAATCTAAGAACGCATGACTTGGTCTACTAACGTATTCAAAATATATTAATCTCATGTTAAAGTGAGGAGGTTGCGAGATCTTGCAAATTCCTTAGCTTTGCCTACCGCATCAGAGAGGGACTGGTCGAAATCATATCTATTCGTGAGGTCGTCGACCTGTTTACTGTGGGACATGTTGACAGGGATCCCACACACATTCGATCCAGAACTAAGCACTCCATGAAAATGAATAACCCGAGCGACCGAACCGTTCAGATCCACTCCTCCCTCTTCAGGAATGGAGATCCTATGAACGCCAGAGGAGAACACCTTGCTGGGATTGACCATGTATTTCCTTCTCCCCTGCGATCCAGTGCACATCCAGGGGTCCCTCTCGGCTTTCATGCACTCTGGCACTTTATTGTGCCACATCAACCTCTCTAGCGGCCACCGGGACTCCTCCCTTACAGCACAGTGCCCGGAAGACGCAGGCATGTTGGCGAATGTCATCCAAGCAGCTTGCGGATGGTCTCGGATCAAACTTTCGACTGTGTGTGGAGGAGAGAAGTAGAGCAGCTCGTCAAAATCGTTGAAGAACGACCAACTGTGCCCTGCAGTCCTCGTCCTATGGATGCAGTCGTTGATGAAGACGAGCTGGTGTTTGTACCACGCGGGAAAATCTTCGATGGCCGTGCTTTCGATCTCGATGAGGGTGAGGAGGCCAGCCTTCACGTAAGGCTCCACAACCTGATAATCTTCGGCGGTCTTGAACCCTCCAATGTTGTAGAAGTAAAAGTGCACGTCTGCTTTCCACAAGAAGACGTGGTATGCCAACCAGTGCTGGATCCACCTAGCTTTTATCGTTCCATACATCGGAGGCCCACAGAATGCATATGTGGAGACCTTCCGTGCAGCAGAAGCCGGAGTCCTGGCGCCCTCGTGGAGCACATCTTCGACCGTGAATTTGTCTCCACGATACGGGCCTCTGGCAACATGCAGGCGCAGAACTCCTCCCAACCCATCGGATCCGATGGACTCGTTGAAGGTGCAGTTGACGAGTGCAGGCCCATAACCCATGCCATTCTCGTCGAATTTGACGTAGATCATGTGCGCTTGGGTGAGGGTGCGGGAATCCGAGACCGTCCCGTTGGCAAGCATGGGGCTCCACTCGCAGTCGTACACAGGCTTGTCATGCTCGAAGGCTCGGACGACCAACGAAGTTTCGCCGATCACGAAGAAGGTGTTCAGAGCGTACCGATACACGCTGAACAAGATGAAAGGGTATTGAGCTCTGCCTACGGGTTGCAGCTTGCGGGACTGCGGAATGGCTCGGATCGACCCATTGCCACCCGATTCTGGGTCGACCTGCAGCTGCTCGTGGGACGGGGACGCAGCAGAGGAGCTGCCACGGCAATGTTGGCAAGCATCGTGAAAGCCCGAGAGTCTCAGAAGGCCGGAGAATATGGGGATCTGGAGGAGAATGGCGGCCATGACGAACATGACTGCCAGCCGCAGCACCTCGGCCACGGCCTTCGCCATCAGACCGTCGCGAGGTCCAAATCAAGACGACGCCGAGGCCTTTCTGTCCATCAACTTCCTCTGCGGCGCAGCAGGGCTGGATTCGACCGGCATTTGAATTCGATGACTGAGGCCCTCCTCGGCGCTCCTACGCTTCTCACATCGGACACAGATGGTATCACACATTTATTGAGTCCCAAATCTATAATCATTGCATTCCACGAGCAATGATGAAATGGAGCGAGCAAGTCAACCGCGAGGCTGCCATTCTGGACTGTGGAAACGCGACGTGAAATCACGTCGTTGTAGTTGTTGGCGGCGCACGTACTTCTTGGCATGCATGTGCATGCATGCCCAGTTGGACTGGCATTCAGTCATGCTTCTAATGCGCTTGTCTTAGCTCTGAGACCGAAGTTAAGGATTGCTCCCGGTCTCGGTGACTTTCACTTGGAAAGCTTGTGACTTCGGACTGTCACTTCTAGTCATTTTAAGTCGATTTTACACAACGTTAGCTATGATGTCACATTTTACATAAATTTGGTGACTTCTTTTCAAGTCGTTTGAATCTAAAACCTACATAAATCTATAATCACGAGCTATTCGAAACGAAGTCTTCACGAGTTCCACTTAACTGATTGGGTTCTATTTTTTATGCTACAAAGGTCAAAATACGATGTATAACTCTCATACGAAATGCTTTATTTTTCTTTTTAACATTTCCATAGAAATTGTACTTTCTAGATGAAATGTCTTGGCAAAAATCATGGATTTTCTTTCAAGACAACAAAGAAAATATGTAAAAGTTGTATAATAATAAAAATTGCACACATTGCACTATGTTTTGAAATAAAATTGAAAGAAGAATACTTTCATAATATTCGGTGTGAAAATTTAACGAAACCTCTTTATTATGTATATATATTTTTTTTAAAACTAGTTTTCTAAAATTCAAACCAGAAAAACAAGTGTTTAATTTATCTGATACGATGACCACACCATCAAGTTTGCTTATAACATGTATGAAACTTGTAAGATAGTAAAAATAAAACTGCAAGTTTTTTTGCTCAGAGTGAAAGTATTGCGATTTATTCTACCGTTGATTTGATAAAAAATAACTAAAACAGGAATTTTTTTCCGATTTTGAAAAAAATTTATTAGTCTAAAATTTATCAAATTTTAAAATAAATTTATATTTTAACATTAAAATAATAACAAGCGAATGAATTTCCAATAAAAATAAAAATTTGATAACTAGAAAAAAAAATTATTGAATACAAAATAATGAAAAAGAGAATATTTTGACTTCAAAGAGGAAAATCATGATATGTGCGTATTTGCATATTATTACGGATCAAATTTTATTAACAAAATGTACTCATTTTAATTTCTTATATTGCAATTTCTTGATCCTTCATTTTCAAAATTTTACTTTGTCCAATTGAGTCATGTTCGGAATATAAATAGAAAAGACTATATTTAATTTTTTATTCTATAAAATTTTATTTTAGATTGAATAAATTATTATCTATGATTAATATCGGATATATTCTTATGTGTATACAAAAAATAATTCGTCATCTCATATCTCGCATATGGTGCATATAATCATTCAAAGAACAAACACAATTTACACTCTCATGAATAAGATATCACACGTACATGATTTTAATCTCTTTGTTTTCACATAGTTACAAACACATGACGGTGACTCTTATCATGCATGTGTATCTGTTTGCGAGATTAGTTTTAGTGAACTTTTTAGTATTTAGTTTTTCAATTAATATCAATGCTAAAATCTAGTATACACGTATTAAATCTTGAAACGTGATGTTGGATATTACATGAATTAACAAAAATACACTATCGATAAAATTCACAATGAATGTCATAATAGCTTTTGTAAAGCTACAGTCCGTGGAAAGTTAATTAGCACAAAAATTATCCCACAATGAAGAAATACTTGGAGGGAAACCACGCAAGGTTCTGAAAGCCGCATGAAATTCTGACGATGTGCACGAAACTTCAAGTTGTGTACTCGTCCATTGTCAGTGAGTTGCTCGAGGATTTCGTTACAAGATTCTTCCGATGACCGAAAGTCTTTTTGCTGGCCTCAGGCTCACGTGAGCTGGACATGGAGCTTCGATCGTAAGAATCGGAATGGCCATCAAGAACATGCGACCTTCGCCACCTCTTCTTGTTTCTCTCGTATGTCTGTGAACAGTGCGTCCAAGAAGACGTCGCGAGGGAATGGTCATCGGCTCGGAATTTGAAGCTCGATCATCGCTACAGTCGTCACCGCAGCACCTCTCTGACGGATGGATGGCAATTTGAGGAGATTGTGAAGATTGTGATCGTGTTCCTCCATGATTGCAGCGCTTCTGCAGGACGCAAAGAGTTCTGCAGTCCTGTGGAGTCCGGTCCATCCGTTCCTATCGAAGCACTGCGAGTGACGTCGCGTCGATTTCTATCAGATTCGGTCTTCGAAAGCGTCGAAATCTGCGTTCCCACTGTCTGAGATCTCGGAGATTGTTGGCATCGCCTGCTCAGAAATGCACCGGATGCCATGTCTTCAGCAACAATTGAGCACAGCCTCCGGCCGTCTCGATGCCTCGTTGTGCATGGACGATGCACAATGAGGCGTTCACACAGGCTTTCGACCCAAGCACGAGGTCCCGGGGAGACTGCGATCCCTCTCGTCTCGAATCAGCTGCTGAGAACTGAAAGATGTGATCGCCGCTTCGTAGCTGGAGAAGGGCGGACTTTTTTCTGGCCACGGCAGAGCGGTGCAAGAACTCGAGACCATGCTCGCGGTGCTGCTGGCGCTAGTGAGCGCCCTCGCGCTCGGGCGAGCGGATGAGGTGCCGGAGAAACCATTCGGATTCGATATGACGGGGTTCAGCCCTTATGTTCGAAGCATCGTGATGACCCCTGGCGTGTTCGTCGAAGAAGACTATGTGTCGCTGACGGCGGGCCAGCCGGGCACGGAGTTCTGCAAGACGATGGTGTGCATGGGTAAAATGTACTACGGCAAGACCGTCAAGGTTCCCAAACTGAAAGCAGTCACTTTCCACACGAGCTTCTCCTTCACCATGACGAAATCCCGAGACGAATTCGTGACCGGCGATGGATTCGTCTTCTTCCTCACCGCGCATCCGAGGTTCGCTCTGGGCCAGCCGAACGGCATGTTCGGCCTCTTCACGGAACACCAGGAGCTGGCGTTGGCGAACCCGATGTTCGGAGTGGAATTCGACACCATGAAGAACGAGGAGCTCTTGGACGAGAATGATAACCACGTAGGAGTGAATATCAACAGCGCGATCTCCGTGCGGACGGCGAGCGCAGATACCGTCAATGTGCGGTTGAACGATGGCGAGAGGATCATCGCTTGGATCGACTACGACAAGGCGATGAATGTCGTGGAAACCAGAATTACCTACGACGCGCCGGATGCTGTCAAGCCTGCCGATGCATTGCTCTCGTACAAGTACGACATCAATGAAATGAGCCTGCACGAGTTCTTCGTGGGATTCAGCTCTTCCTCGAACTTCGGATTCGAGCAGTCCCATCAGATTCACTCGTGGAGCTTCAGCGCGAATTTCGACTCCCCTGCGCCTGTTCTCAACACCACCAGCGGCGTGTCTTGGAAACGATGGGTAGCTTACTCTATCGGAAGTCACGCGGCCTTTGGAATTTTTTGGTACTTCTTTACGAGGTACACCAAATGGGGAAAGGCAATCCAAGGTCGATGTGTGACGTTCAGACAGAAGATGATGCCGAAGTGTTGCTGCAGAAGGAAGACTGACAAAGGTGAAGAAGCTAAAGTTGCAGGTGGTGGGAAACCGGGGACCCAAGCTCCTCATGCTGCTCCTCCGAAGACGACCACCATTGCCAAACCGGCCACGACGACGGCAGGGAATCCCCCGGGGCTTAAAGCTCTGGCTGCTGCCGCTGATGACGACGACGACGACGACGACGATGAAGAGGCTCCTCCTCGTTCTCCTCTTCCTCCTCTCCGTCCAGGTGCTAAGCCCCCTACTCCCGCTAAAAAAGACGACGGCGACGAAGATGATGATGACGACGACGACGACGACGACGACAGTAGTGATGATGACGGTCCTCCTCCTCCTACAACAACTCATTCTCCATCTGCTCCACATCCTCCACATCCTGCACTAGGTGGAATGCGTCCCCTTCCTCAACCATTTGTGCATCATCCTCCCCCTTTCCCTCCCAATGTCGGATACCCACCTCCACCCCCATACCCGCCCCCGCCACCCCCTTTCTAAATCTGCGAAACCGGGAGTCGGGAATCGACGGAATCGACATAGCTGACGGACATGCTATGTCCGAAGAGACAGAAACCTTCTGTCACCCGCAAGATATGACTTCATCGCCGAACAGAGAGCCAGCAAACGTGCGAGTTATACGGTTTACAAGAAACGATTGCGTTTTCTTTGTAGACAGGAACAGAGAAGCAAGGAAGCTCAACGATCAGGATGGACAATGGATGTATTGACTTTGGTAGAGGGTTCTCTCAGACTGCTTCGTCTTTCGCGTGAATCAAGTGGCGCAAGAGACCCAGAATCACAGAAAATACCGATGATCTTCTCGTCCTCCTTGCCTTACTGATGAGGTCAGATTACCAGGTATGCTCCGAAGATCCTGCTTTGCACAGAATTTGTCCATGCATGTAACTGCCGGAGTCCTTGGAGTATGTGCGCTTCTACACTACAAACAATTCCTCTAACAGAAGCAGAGCAGACGATATATTTCCTCCTGCCAATATGCTTATTTAGTATGTGTTCAAGTTTGCAATTCTAAAGCGTAAATGAAAAGTATCAGCCCGAAAGCAGCTTCGTCGAGACGGGATACTCTTCTTCTCAACGTATTAGATTGCAACTTACAGTCCCAACTTATCACGTTGGCTTGTGGGTGGCTCCTGGATTGTGAGTTCAAGCAGGAGGATCAAGGCGAGCGTTGATTCAAGCAGGAAACATAAGTCTCCTACTTCTAGCCCCTTAAGCTCAACCCTTTGACGCTGACGTTCAATTGTTCGACCCTTCGATTACAAGAATGGCCCCAAACCTTAGACTCCTCGTGCTCTGCATTCCTCAAAAGGCAGAGATTCCTCCGTAATGTTGGAGCAGAAAGGTTTCGATTGCACCGTGTGAAGCTTTTTCGTGTGAATAGGTGTTAACTACCTCGTTCTCGAGCGGCTTAGAAAGACAGGTAACCTCTATAATTTAATCAGACACAAAGAACTAATCACCAGATTGAAGGTGCGTTTTGAGTTATGTTTAGATAAACAGAGTTCTACATGCCATTGAAAAATCCAGAACATGCCGATCACCAAGGGCCGAAACGTGATTTCAGGAGAAATTTCCCGTCTACTCACCAGGCTCACGATAAATTCATAATTTATCCACGGCAAACGGAAACATAGCTGAACAGGAATGTCAAATTCAGCAAGTCTAGCCAAACTTGTGATGCGCTGAATGGACGTTGCCCACAGGAGGTGGGGTACAGATCACAGATGAGGATCATGCACAGAAGACTCTGAATGATTAGTAAGACTCCCTGCAACGTAGCCAGAAACTCAGGAGATAGTACAGAGTACTCTGTGACATCTTGAATTCTGTTCAAGAACTTGAGTTAGCTGGTTACGAGGTTCCTGACTACGTATCGATACAGCACCAGCGGCTTACAGAAAAGAGCGGAATATGACACGAGAGCCGATCGAGATCATAGAGCATGATAAATTGGAAATACTAAAACCCATGAAGAAGGTTTCAAATTCCACAGAACGTATCATCTGATTATAAGTTTACAGAATGTCGGAAGCTTATCCGTGTTTCCATCAGCACGGAACACAACATACTTGAAAGGTGAAATCCACTTGTTCCAAGCACTCAAAGAAGCAACTTTTCACTGAGAAGAAAGTCCTATCTAATTACTAGGCAATATCAGAATATACAAAGTCTCAATCCCCTGCAACAGTTATCGTTCCTCAGGTCACAGCAGCCTGCGGATATTCTAGTATAGTACACTCGCAAACGCCTCACGGAGTTCGGAAACCCTTGAAAAAGTTCAAGGGAGTATATTTATATAGCCCGTGGCAACTGCGACGCCTAAAATGACAGCAGGAGGCAAAATCACGAAGAGTGCCACCGTCGTGAAGAAAGGGGCGTCGTTTCGTTTCGCTACTTCGTCCAGATATTTTTGTCGTCGAATGTTTCGTTTCTGAGATATGGTCAGCGGAGCTTGCTCCAAGGTCATACTCTGTGCCAGGGGAACCGTGACAATTTCGGCCTGGTCCAGATCGACCTGCTCTTCCAGCTGCTCAGCGATCGTTCTGCCGCCACCATCTTTACTGCTTTCCGATATAAACCGCTCGAGGAGATCCAAATGTGTTTCCGCAGATGACCCGGTTGCGGGTTGCTCGGACGACTTTCGGTCGGTAGCTTCGGCATTCAGAGTAGAATCTGCTCTGCTCGCCCGAGTGATTCCGGCTCCAGCCAACCTGACGGCGTACGTCTTCCCGCCAGTGACATTCTTCCAAACATTTCCACTCAAGGCCACGCCCCTGCCGGTGAAAGAAGCGACGGCAAGGACGGACCTCGCACGACCAAAATTGCAAGTCGAAGGAGATGAATTCCAATGAATGCGAGAAGAAGGGTGTGAGCGAATCTGATCGATGTGACCTGACGAAGAGAGACAGAGGCAAGGTGAGTCCGATAGACACCCAATTGAGGTCATTCTTGTTCGGCTCAAGATCCGCTTCTCGGGCAGGCGAAGATCGATAACACAGAAGACGACGACGCAGATCTGTCCTCGATCGCCGACGAAAATGCAAGAAAGTGCTCTGGTCTGAAATCGCAGGCTGGAAAAAGCGTTACCGAGGACGCAGACAAGTAGAACTTGTTAGAGCAGTGGAACGGCGACGAGACTGAAATGTTCACTGCCACTCATGGGCCAAAGCCAGAGACACGCGTTCCGTGGCAGCGAAAGGTGGAACGGAGCCACAATCGCAAGCTCGACAACGATCGTCAGCGCGCTCCACTTGGAATCGAAAGCTGCACAGAGAGTTCCATCTGTGACCGAATTCGACATCTGGTCTGCGGGAGCGTCGAGCTGACAGGCCGCCAGCGAACGTGTGGCGCTCAGAGCACCGATCAAGATTTTCCGTTCCACCATGGAACCGGTTGTGTTCCATCACCACTCCGGTCTCCCCGGTCTCCCCCATGGCTACCGGCTGACTGCCTCACTCCCTCCCGGTATCGAATCGCGCCTTTCCCTCCAGATGCAAATTCTACAAAACCTCTTGACTGAAACCCCATTCCATGCATGTGTGTTTCATGCAGTTCCGAACATTATTCGGTATATATAATGCAATTGAAAATATGAGTGATGATCACTCTGCATTATGAAAGTGTTCAAAACTAATGACATCCAAATTGGCATGACTTATGTAACCCACATTTGATTAGCTGAGTTTATGCAAAGCATAAACTATACATAGAGCACATAAGGTCAGTAGCATACTTATGGATGCGGAGATATTTTTTAAGAGATTTAACGCTCAGACTTGAATATTATGGTTCAAATTTTGATGTGCGAATTTTGAATTTGAGAATGTGGTTACGATCGATGTTAGCTAATACATAATCCTTACTGAGTGGATTATGTTAGTTACTTTGATATAAGAAAGGTGAGAAAAGTTATCTGAAACACAAATAGTATTTTTGTAAAACTAGTACAATTAATTACAATTGAATGTTTTAGTGCCATTGAAATGAATCAATTATTTTTTCACTCTGTTATATGAATCTTAGATTCATTTTTATTCCAACTGAGTCATACTCTAATTTTTTATCTTATGTTTATAAAAAAAATGGAATATATGTAAATTAAAAAACTCTTTTAAAATAAAAAATTTAGTGTTTTGTTGAAAGTATAGATTTTTCAAGTTTGAAATTTTTTGGCAAGTTTTTTTAATACTTCTTTATACATAGTGTGCAAGACATTTATAGAATAGCATTGTGATTAATTGTAGTTACTATGGTATTGATGTACTTCATTTCAAAACATGTAGTTTATGCTTAAAAGTTGAATTAAAAGTGTGTGAAAATAAGTTGTATAACTTAATCATACAATAAATTAAATCTTATACAAAAAATCATTTTAAGAAATACTTGTTATCAAATTTTGTTTCAAACTCAAATTTTTGAAGTGTAAGATTAAGTTTTCAAATTTTAAAGTTAAAAATTAAAAGTTCAGAGTTTTTGCATTTCAAATGAAATTCATTATATTTAGAAAGTAATAATCCATAACATATATAAAGAAAATATGTGCTTTTGAAAAAAATGAGAAAAAAAATCATAATTTCAATAATAATATATATTCCATATATATGAAAATCATATGCATTTTTACCAAATTATAATTATTATAAAATTTATAATATTCGATTTATGTTTTGTACTTATGCACTACAGATTGTGATTAAAAATATTCTATTACTTTGGAAAATTTTGTAAGATAAATTTTTGTTGATTTTTTATTTTTATTATTGTATCTTGATAGAAGATAATTACTTGATGGTACCTTGCGAAACTCAAACTACTTGATGGAACCCAACAAGTTTCATGTTATATGACGGGACCCCACTCTACGGTCATGCAAGTCACATTCAAGCATGTTGCAATAAAAGTTATCATGACCTGATAATTTACGGTATAGTGTGAACACTATCGGGCCAAAATACCTTTTCTCGTGAGAGTAATTTGGTGGCTCGTTCTCTTTCGGAAACAAGCTGCGAACTAGTCTTAGAAAGAGAGTAACACCATGATGTTGAATAATTCCCCATAGGGTCTTGACGTAAATGCATCCGAAAAAACACGTAGAGTTTCCTACTGGATTAAATCAAATAATATCAGATAAAATCAAATCGTACTGGAACATCGGTGACGGTGGTCCTAAATGAAATCTTATCGGGTAAAATGAAACCCGTTGGATCCCATCAAATTTATTTTGTTTCCTTGGAGTCCTGACAAGTAATTTACTCATAGTGATAGTTTGGAATAAATTTACGAGTGATTATTCATGCAAAATTTTCAATTTTTAGCAAAATATATTAGAGATTGTAAAAAAGTGTTTTACTAGATTCATTTGAAGGTTTTTTAGTTTTCTCTGAAATTTTGATAACGGATATATTTTTTCAGTTGCATATATATATATATATATATATATATATATATATGCTTGATACATTATTTCAGATCAGTATGATTTATGAATATTTGACAAGAGTTTCAATGTGATAAGTCAAACTCTACACTATATGTGCTTGTAATTAAATTCTTTGCAAATGCTTAAATGTAATAAATTAAGTATTTAATCATTTCATACATTTAAGCAAATTTTTCAAAGTAATATATTTCATTCAATGTATCATTGTAAGATGTCATAAAAAGTTTGTAATGGTTTGTATCATATTATGATAGTGAAATAGTTTGAAGGTAATAAATTTATTTACATGATAAATCAATACAAATATTCATAGATATATTTAGCTTGTCATATCATTGATATTCAATATAAGTTTATGAAAAACTTATCATTGTTGACGCTTCTATCTTCATATTCATGCAATAGCTAATTTTCAATCATTTATATTGACTTGATCAATAACAATAGTTGGAAATTAATACATCTATATATCTCGGATTTTACGAGTGTAAAAAAATATTCATTATGCTTAGTTAGCAATTTTATCTTGTGAGAATTCAATTAATCTAAAAATATCATTATTTTAATAAAAATTTATAGTCTTTATATGAGGTTGATTGAATAAAAACTAAAGAAACATATGATAATAGAAATATAGAGTTTTTTTAAAATCCCATGGATTTTTGAATTATTTTTAATAATTTGGATTAAATTTTATTTTATACTTTCATATAAGACATAACTAATGTATAATTAAAAAATATTAAAATAATTTTCATTAGAACATAAATATTATTGTAAAATTTTTTCAAAATTTACACTCACACACCAAATTTATATTGTTCATTGTAAAATTATATTATATTTTTCATGTTAAAAATGAATATTTCATCAAATTTATCATTGGGTTGTATAAATTACCGAAATTTTTTTTATCTTAATAATGATAATATGCAAATTTCTTTAACACATATGTAAATAATCATTGTGACTGATATATGTTTATATACATAAATGCATTATGAGAAATGTTGAAAAATAAATCATAATAAAATATGGTTTGTATAAATTAGTGTTTTTATCTAAATATAAAAAAATATAAATTTCATTTTTTATATTCTTGTTATAATATATTGATCATTTTAAGAATTAATCTGATAACTCAATATATTCCGTTACAATTTTAAAACCGAGAATGAATAAGAACGAAAGAGTGCAACAGAAATTTTTAATTTCATGCTCAACTTGCCAGTTTGCAATTTATTTTGTTGTATTTTATAAATTGCGTTGCAAGATATGGAATAGCGTCCACTGTTTGTTTGTACTGTGCAAGGGGTGCGGAATGTTCGTCATCAGTGCTGGATCTCATCGAAGCTGTTCTGGGCGTTTTTTGCAAGCGAAGAATTGTCTTCTAAACATGACAGTGAAATTTTTTTGACTGCGTCCACAGGGAGTGCGAGGGAACTTTGATTTAGAAATTTGGAGGTTTGAAAGTGGGAGTTTTCTTTCGTGGAGACCAAGTTGCTTGATTATGTGATGAGGCATCAGCTCTGCCTCGAACTAAAAGTAATTTCAAATGGAGAACGAAGTGGAGCTGCCCAAGTGTAAATACGGTGCACAATGCTACAGAAAAAATGCAGAGCATCTCTCTCAATTTTATCATCCCTCTGATTCTGAAGAAACGTATGAAGAACGTGTAGTCCGATCAAAGAGATCACATGCTGGTACTGCCTCCCGTCTTGGAAGAGGAGCTGAAGCCAGGATTCTTGTGGGGTCTCATTTGAATTTCACAATCGAGAGTCTGATTTCTTGCGTGCAGAAGATGGTACTTTTGATTGTATCTCCTCGTTGTGTCTGTGTGATGTCAAGTTCATTTTGCAGTCGGTTGAGTGTCTGTAATTCCTAGAAGTTTCGGCTACAGATGGTTTCATATGCATACGATGAAAACCCTGTTATATTCCAAACAGGTTCTGCATTAAAATTTGGACTTTCATCATAGCAGAACTAAACCAGCAGGGAGCAGGGAGTGAAGAGCGAGGGAAGGAATTTTCGCATATTCCAGAGCAGAAACAAAGTAGCAATTTGAATCCTTCTGCAACTGAGGATTCGAGATTTGAAGAAGCTGAAGGCGAATGGGAGATCGATGAGTATGATGGGGAAAATGCTGCAAATTGTGAGTATGATGAAGTAGCACAGGAACCATCTACATCCTCGTATGCACATCACAACAGCAGTGGAAGAAATCAAACTCCAGATGCTGTTGTGCTGTTGATACTCGTTGGAGTGCCGGGTAGCGGGAAGAGCACCTTCTGTTCCAAGCTTATGTCAAGTGGCGCTCAGCCTTGGATTCGAATTTGCCAGGTCGGAATCTGTCACAAAGATGTGCGATTTCGTACATATGTGTGCTGAAATGTCTTCTCTTATCACATTGAACCGGTATCATAACAAGCCTGTAACACTATGTAGGAATTTTAAGACAATGCTTGTCACGCAGGACCTGTGGTTGATTCAGGGTGTGTGAAGGTAGCGATTTCTTTTCTTGTGCAGGATATTATTGCCAACGGGAAGAGAGGAACAAAGAAACAGTGCCTAAGAGAAGCTGAGTCTGCCCTCCTTCGACGACGGAGTGTAGTAATTGATCGGTGTAATATAGACATTAAACAACGGCAGGATTTTCTAGAGCTGGCTGCACGTCTTAGGGTTAATTGTCATGCTGTTGTCTTAAATTTGCCAGCAAGTCTGTGTATTCAACGCGCTTCACATCGCGTCGCTCACGAGGGTGGCCTAAATGCTGGAAATGCTTCACAAATCATTAACCGCGTCTTTCGTAGTCGTAGGTTACCCTCTCTTAGTGAAGGTTTCTTTAGGATAACCTTATGCAGGACGGATGCAGACGTGGAGAAAGCAACAGAAGAGTATAGGGTTTTAGATCATTCGAAGCTTCTAGGAGCAGGGTTATTTGGTCCTGTGAACAAGAAGGAAAGCCGACCTCTGCAGCTTGCTGGAATAACTGCAATCGATGACAGGAATTCACCTCCTGGAACAAACAAGGAAGAGCTGGCGAGAACACAGAGCGTTGTGGCTGCGAAGCAACAAATTTTAAAAGATCATCTTCCGAGAGTAGGTGTAATTGGAACATCTCAACATATGTCTTCTGTTGACGAGCAACAGGAAGAGACAAACACTCTGGCGTTTCCTTCTATCTCTACTGCAGACTTCCAGTTTGATCACTACAAGGCATCTACCATTCTTGTGGAATCCGTCTCTGAGTTTCTGCTCAAAAATCCTAATGCAGGCCTCAAGTTAATGCTTGTTGACATAGGTTCCAAATCCCACATGCTTTCGTTAGTTAAGAAGAAGGCAACTGAGTTGAATGTAGATTCGGACAGATTCACCTTCTTCACTGGCGATATTACCAAAATAAGGTCGTCAGGAGGACCCCCATGCAACGTTTTAGCCAATGCTACCAACTGGTAATATCTTCTTTCTTATCTCAATGTAACATGTTGTATTTGCTGATGCTGTTTCTAGATTAAGTAGAGAAAGAATGACTATGCAGACAGTGGGGAATTCCCTTGTTGTCCCACTTGCTTAATAGATTCTATTCCATTTTTTCATGCTCTGAGTCTTCCACTGGAATTCTGTCTATAGGGAGGGTGGGGAAGATATATGAAGATATCAGTGAATACTATTGTTGTGCAATACTACTACAGCCCTTTGTACTTCTGTGATGGTGTTGCGAGTTGTATTTTCCGAAGGTGATAGACACTATGGCTGGATGGTGATTAGTTGGCATTGCATCACATAATGCTTATTGAACAGGGTTGGCAATTTAGCTTATAAGAGGAGTATGTACACCTTAGTGGTCATCGTTGTTCAGATGCCAGTTGACAATTGCTGTTTTTCAATACAGTTTTACCTGTTGTTTTTTTATGAATGTCGGTTTGATTTACACCTACCAAAGGAAAATAGAGAATAAGATAGAGATATCTGAACAGAATTTCTTTTGTCAGAAAATTTGCTATGGCGTCTTCTGTTTAAAAAATCTGTGACCTATTTCTGTGTTTGGTTTTTTATATATTATATCTCTTAACCTTTTGATGCTTTTCTCAGTTCTTGTTCAAATGTATCTTCAACACCTAAAAACTGCCACTGATGTCTTCCATTTTTGTTCTTACTGAGAGCCATAGATAGAAGTCGGTATTTTTATTTTAGTAGCGTTAAGTGCTTGTTTTTGAATCTATAGAGTTTCTCAATGAGCTTCTTGGTATGTACTGACTACAGTCATATCCCAGAGTATGTCGCTAAAACTTTCTTCAGATATTTCAAAGTGAAAAATCATGTTGAATTTTCCGAGGTGCTTCTTAATAATATGTTTTGAGATTTATCTTTCATCTAGCTGATCTGCATCCATCCGGTCAGTTTTTCCTTTTGTGGCCAGATTTATTTTTATAACTGTGACAGATCGTAAATTGTATTTCTGATGCCGCAGGAGGCTGAAAGCTGGTGGTGGTGGTGTGAATGCTGCAATCTTCAAAGCTGCAGGGCCTGAACTGGAGGAAGCCACCAGGAAGGTCGCCACAACTCTTCTCCCAGGATCTTCGATAGTTGTTCCATTGTCCCCTTCATCTCCTTTGAGAAAGGAGGAAGGAGTTACACATGTGATTCATGTCCTGGGGCCTAACATGAATCCTCAGAGGCCGAATTGCCTGGCGGATGATTACGTTGAGGGCTGCAAAATTTTGCGGAATGCATATGCAAGGTTGTTCGAAAACTTTGCCTCACTTTTCCAAACGAAACCCATGGTCGTGGATAACTGCAAGAGAGTGGACACTGGAAGTACTAATCAGAAACCAAAACTGAACGCCTTCCAAGTGCTGATGCAAGCTTCAAAGCGTAAGGGGGAAGTAGGGGATATATCACTGAAAAGAGAAAAGGGAGAAAAAGTTCGAGTTATTGAGGATAGTATCACTTGCTCAGGAGGTGACCACACCGAAAGTGGTATAACTCAAACACATGGGCAAGCGAACCTACCCTCAGAGATGAACTCCATATCTCGTGAGTCGATGAATGGACACGGGCCCAAAAACGTGTTATCCAGAGAAAACGCAGACGCAAAGGTGCACGACATCAGAGCAGGTGGTTTACAGGGCAGAGATAAGGTCGAGAGGAAATGGGATAAATGGACACTTGCCCTCTACAAGCTTGCTCTTCACCCAGATGAGAGTAAACTATTGCAGGTCACAGATGCGGCGGTTGTTCTATACGACCTCTATCCCAAGGTAGTGCTCACGTCTGTTTTCAGGTGAATCTGTTTTCTGTTGGTTAGCTCTTACGTCATTTAGGTCCCTACCTTCATGGATATTGAAAACCCCTATGTCTTGAAGATCACTACGGCAGTAACCAAACGATGATATGAGAAACTTCAAACTCCTTCAAGCCGTCAGTTGTCAAGGACGTACTCAACATTAGACAGCGAGGGGTGTATTTTGTAATCTCATATCTAACCTCGCAGAGGACTCACTTCGAGTATTGCGAAGATGCTCACGAATCGGTGTAGTGATTACAATCTTATTTGCTTTAGCTGTCTGACAATTTTTTGTTGGACTTTGTTTTAAAGGCAAAAAAACATGTGCTTGTCCTGTCACGGAAGCAGGGGCTTGATGCCTTGGAAGATGCCCGCCAAGAGCACATAGCCCTTTTAGAGCATATGCATTCTCTAGGAGAAAAATGGGCAGCATCTTTCCTTAAGGAGGATTCATCGCTGGTGTTCAGAGCCGGTTACCATTCGGTACAAATCCTGAACCGAGAATGTTGTGTTCTGTTTTGAGTGTCCACCATTTCCCTCTCAATCAGCGGATTTGTGACTTAGTTTCGAGAATTTCTGTTGATAACAGAATTTACTGAAGTTAGTCTCCGTCACTCGTATCTTTTCCTCTTTTGGGCCAAGTTCATTGTCTGCAAATCAGAGTTAGTTTCTGATCTTGGATTATTGTCAAGTCATTCGGTCCTACTCTGCATCAATGTGGCATGACGTGTTCAACTACGAAAGGCAAAATGCTTTTACCTTTCGAGTTCACTATGTAGGATTAGTATGTTCCAGGAATCTCTGCAATCATCTTCCCTTCTTGTTTGATAATTATGCTATTATACTCAGAAAAATAACAAATTACGACAAGTACACTGTCTGTGGACGTCAGCAGGCCTACGAATCATATAGAGGCTTGACATTCATCCACTGCTGCTGACTTACTCAAAATGCTCCTTTAACAGTCGTTTGCTGTCGGATCATGAGCAGGTCCCCTCAATGAAGCAGCTGCATTTACACGTGGTGAGCCAAGATTTCGATTCTGCATGCTTGAAGAACAAGAAACATTGGAATTCATTCACAACGCCATTTTTCCGTGATTCTCTTGATATTATCGATGAGCTGAAAACTCATGGACGAGTAGATAATTGTGGTGAGAGAGCAGAGAAGGCGCTGCAAGAGTTGGAGCTACGTTGTCACCGTTGCAGAAGCATTCAGCCAAACATGCCTCGTCTGAAAGCCCACATCTTGGCATGCACGCAGCCTCTATTTAACTCCAAGCATTTGATTACTGTAGATTCTGTAAACGGTGTATAGTTGTGATTTTGTTGGCTGACACAGCCGTTTTCTTTGATCAGAGCTACAAATTTTGTCCTTGATTTTGATACGGGAAGGAAACTCTATCGGAGCAATGTCTGTGTGTATAGATGCGACACGACTCCAGAGGGTTTAATATGAAAGTCCCAACCGCTTCACAGTCCCATACTTGGTCATAGGACTCCATAGTCCTGTTTAAGCCACAAGGCCTTAGTTTTCGAAGCTTTCAGTCTTCTGCTCAGAAATGTGTCCCATGTACTAAACGACTGATAGATGTGAACTTATGCTGCTATTAAAGAAAGCTAGTTTTTGTCCAATGATCATACAGCTTCATTGTATAGCAGGCTTCCCCGGTGAGTAGGTGGAGCTTGAATGAGTACACAAGTGACACTGTATGGAGCGATGTGTAATATATATCAATAATAGTGCAAAAAATAAGAGTCTTATCAGAGTTGAATAGATTCTGGACTCTTACATTTTGTCATGTCGATGTTATCTTCATAGACAGTTATGAGTGACAACCTTTCATTACTTGGTGGGAAAACACGAGCAGTTCGAAAGCCTTTCTGAAGATGGGGAGACTGGTAATGAGGCCATTGAAAGCTTTGAAAACCTTGTAGTCATCGAAGATCGATATGTTTCAGTGAGGGCCATCATCTTTGAGTCCTCTTATCTGTCAAATTATCCATCCTTATCTTTGTGTTAAAGTTGGCGCTAGCCGTAAATCAAATATAGTTAGTCATGAATTGTAACTATGTCACATCAATTTGCGGAATCCACTTTTTGTTTTCAATAATCGTAAGCCTTCACTAGGAGTGGACGGATATCTAGTCATGAATGGAATGTTTACCTCAGTGAAGGCACAATTAGGAGGTGCGAAGGTGAAGGTACGGTGCTCGTCTTCCAGTGGCACTCCGAGTCTTGCCTGGTAGTTTTCCCAGATATAGTTGCCCAACAATTTCCCAATTCTATTGACATTGTACACCAGAGAAGTGCAGGGTTCTTTGTTTTTCCCGACAGGGCCTTGACTGACGTACAGACAACGGGAAAAACTGATGTAAAAAGAGTCCCATGTTGTCAAAATGATGAAAAGAAAAAATGGAGCCTCCAAATCCTCTGTTGCCCTCCCTCTCCACGTGTATTGAAGGTGTAACCGTGTGAAGAGGTTAGATTGTCGTCAAACAATGTCAAAGCACAGCGTACCACATGTCGCATGTGCATCTCGTGTAGTACGCATGCATTACAACATGTAGTTTTTGAGAGAAAAATTCTTCAAACTCTAACATAAATCTTAGAATGTGTAAGTAGTCTTTACACGTGAAGTGTGATTGATATGGAAATTGGAGATATATAAGATTGCCATAGGGACACCAGGTTGTACTCATTGATACCTTGACTATTGAATCTAGAAGATATAACTCATACTCAAATATTATAAGGTAGGTGTAATTTTCTTTACAAGATAAACAATCTTTTAGCTTCAATACACGAAGTAGACCCAAAAGCTCTTCCAGTGGCATTATGAGTAGGGTTCATCAATAGCCAAGTCTTGAAAAAATAGTTTTAAATCTACAAAGATCATACATACTCAAATATGAAGTTGTATCAAGATTATTATGCAAATAGTGAATTCTAATCTGAAAGATCTTTACAAAATTTTCTTGCAATATAACTCAATTATTTGATCAAAAATCTAATCTCAGAGCAATCAACTCTTTATGTTATCAAATTTAAGCTTCAAAGTATAAAATCAACATAAAAGGTTGATAACATAAAAAATTAATTTACTTTCAACAAATTAAAATAGTTGTCTCACTTCATATAAAATAAAGAGTTGAAAGCATAGATAATCTCAAATTGACTTGTAAGGAAACAATCCCGTGACTATAAAATTAAAATTCAAGTGTGTGTGTATTGGAAGTGGTGTGTCAACAAACCATTTGTTTGTTGTAATGTCATTGAATTATGATCAAAATATGGAAGGTGGTGATGAAACTTATCTTCTTGTGATTTTTAAATTATCTAAGTAGGAAGTTAAAAATTCACACAGATTTATCTTATATTCAAACCTTAAGTGAGCTTATGGAGGGAAATTTTCTCCCTCCATAAGCTCATTATATGGAGATATTATTTGAACTTTGAATATTATTGAAGTGAAATTTTTTATGAATGACTATATCCTATTATATATATTTCTATATTATTGAATGTCTACAAAATGACATATGAATACCCTGTTTTAAAACTCAGTTCTTTTAGGATTTCTACTAGTTAGAATATGTTTTATGGAAACTCATAATATGTAGGTGTATATATTTTGATACAAAATTTTAGTTTTTTACAATTTTTAACAAATATTACATTAGTTTCAAGGTGAGATGTTTATTTTTAGATAGAAACAGATTGTATAAATTTGAGTAGTTTAGATATTCTTGAAAATAATTAAATTTTAATTGAAATCCCAAGAAGTTTAATAATTTACACTGATTTTCTATTTCAAAAAAAATTGCGTAATTATAGTTGAACCAACTTGATATATTTGGTTTTAGGATTCAAATTCTCACTACAAGCATGTACAAATCCAAGATGGACAGTATATTCAAGAAATGTGATTTTTTTGGACATAAAAGTTGATTTCAGTTGTTATAGATCATGCTTTATTGTAAGCGTATGATAAAAATAAGAATCTTATTTGTACATTCAACATGTTTAGTTTACTTAAACATATGAATGATGTAAAATTGTATCTACTTTAGTTTATGTAAGTAAGAAATTTTCAACAAAGATGAAAGTCTTCCTCTCCTATATCATCATATCGTGGAAGAAGTAAAATTCTTTTTAGATATATAAAACTAACAAATGAAGATTTACAATCACAAAATATAATTTAACATATATTCATATATATGAACTTAATGATATTGTAGTAAGAAAAAACTGTGGTTCATACGCTTGATATTAATTACTAAAAGTGTTACTATTTGTTAAATAAAACAAAATAACTAGAAATAATCAGCGCAATCTATTTTTTGTTATCAAATTTAAATTTGTAAAGATTCAAAATATTAGGCTATTTTATTACAAATCTGTAAATAAAACTATTGTTTCTAGAGAGTATATGGCCTCGTTGCTCATCGTTTGGAGTCTATTGCAGAACTTCTAAAATATGACGTTCTATTTTGAGACTTTGCAAAATTGAGACCGCATTAATCTGGCCAAAATATCATACGTTATATAGATCGCGGACTACAAGGTACTCTCCGTGTTCGCTCATAGTTGCAAAGCATTTGGACGGTCGAAGGAGAAGCCCTTGAGGGAAGGATGGAATTACGGTAGGAATGCGTGCTCCCCAGAAAGAGACCGTGAGTGCAAATGCGCAGGAAAATGGACAAAAGTTAAATATATGATAGGACATTGGGATACGGTTGAAAAGTTTACAAGAGTTTGATAATTTGAATTTGCTTGAATTTTCTGGTAAACTGCCGATCGCTATGCCACATAGAGTTATACTAGAACCTTAGTGTATATTAGTGCAAAGTTACAAATAATTTTCCGGATTTTTTGTTGTACGAACTCAACAAAAGAGAGCAAGTTGCACAAGAAAGAGAGAGAAGAATTGAGAAAAATATAGATTGAGTAAATTTCATATCTTTCTTTCACCTTCTTTTGTATCATTTCTTGGTTGGATAAAAGGTTTCATACAAGTGACACCATTTTGTCAAGCATTCAATCAATAAATCTCTTAACGAATTGACAATGATATCAAAGCGTTTGCATATCATTATGAGTGGAACGATGCCATTTTGAATCAAGCATGCGATGATATTAGATGTCCAACCGGTCTATCGATCAATAACAAAAACATCATGATTGTTCAATATCTATTATGCGTCCACATTGATTCCAAAAAGTGAGAGGGTGCCATTGTGAAGCACCAACAAACCAAAACACACCACTGTTGGAATTCTTCTCCCATATCAAGTCCCACAAAAATCAAAATGAGTCTTAGCAGATAATTGTTAACTAGTCTATTCTTGAGGATGGGACCAATCATCATTTGCTTTTGTATCAAGAGAATGTCATATTCTTCAAGAAAATAAGATGTCTAGCACATTCATCGTTATCGTTACTTACACACGGACAAGTACACCCTTTAGTTTGTTATTTTTCAACTGTTGTAGTTGTCATGTGAGAATCATTTTTTTATGAGAAGGAAGAAAAAGAAGACTATGACTCCAAACCAATCATCAAGGCGAACGCCATGAAACTGTTCAAACTATAGTAGAAACAATTATACGTGGTGACGATCAAAAAATTCTTTGTGATTCAACCTTGTCATGCAGCATACTAGGTCAAATTTATGCTCACATGTATTTATAGTACTATAATTTTTTTAATTTTTAAAACTTTAGTTGTTACAGTTGTTTAGAATGGTTAAAATCAGATTTTGGCTAGTGAACTTTCTTATCAAGAAATATCCGTGTCTCCAATTTTCTTTATGTGGAAGATCCAAATTTTGACCATGATTTTTGACGGGGGAAGAGTCTGAGGAGGAAAAGAAAGCTTTGAAGCTTTGGTCGGGGATTGAGAGTGAAATGAGGTCACAGCTCAAGGAAACGCGACAAGACAAATTTGGAGATAAAAGATGTGCGCTGGAGGGAGAGAAGACCAGAGGTCAAATTGGAGTTAGAGGAGTATGGAAGGAGTTGTAGTAGCTTAGGGTTTATGGAACTTGTAAAAAAGATTTCTCTTTGGACAAGCATCAAGAAACTAGACGGAAAACTAGTGAGAGTTGTTGGTCATTTGTATCGCGAATAGATTTGTTGTATGGATCCCAAATGAGCTTTGGAATGAGCTAGTTTTGGTCCGTGTGAGTTGGATATGGAATGTGAACAAATGAAAAGGGAGTGGAAAAAGAGAAGTATGAGGGACAAATGTTGCGGAAGATTTAACGGTTGGATTAAAGATACATTGCAAGGCTCGTTACAATCAATTTTTCACTTTGATAGAGGCTTTGGTGGTTGAAGTTATAAGGTCAATTTTTGATTGACGGTCATGTATGATGTAAGAGCTGGATGAGGAAGTGTCAGAATTGGTAGCGTAGGTTCCAGCAGAAGAATTCAAAAGACAAATTTTTGAGGTTCACAATCAAGATCTTCTAGAAACTTGAAAAGCGATGAAAGATCAGGGTATATTGGAGCTAAAGCAGCAGAAGATCACTTAGTTGCAAGCCAATATGAGATCGCAAAAAGATAGACCAAAGTAGAAGCAAAGTTGAAGGTCAAATGACATTATTTGACAAGAAGTTGGAAGTAGAACGTTGAAGTGGAGATGGGAGAGAAAGAGATACTACTGGAGGTTAGGAGTAAAAAAGATTTTGTAGAGCTTAGTGTTTGAGGAGAGATTAGCCATGATGGACGAATGAAAGA